TCGGAGCAGAATAATCGAAATGCCAATATTTAAACAAATTTCATGAGAAGGAAGTCCGGGCATATTTAAAGAATTTAAAAATTCTATCAGGTAATTAGTGGCTTCTTGTTCATCGACTGTTCTATTTATTGAGCTATAAATTTTGCTTTCCCCCTGTGTATTCGACAGTATTTTGTTATTAATCTCAGATGCCTGGTCATTGCGAGGAGTTAAAATGGATCTTTCGCATAGCCAAGAATTGTCCCTATTTAATATAATTGTTACGTCACCGTAAACCGACGATATAAGATGTGGTTGGGATTGCACTATACAACATAATTCAGGCGTCAGAATAAGTTTTTCTTGGTGTAGTTGTGGATAGGTACCTTCACCATTCTTTAATAATTTATCAGAAAATTGACGATCATCCGGGTTATCAACAGTTCTCACTCGCATGTTTATAGTCAAATGTACCGATTGTATATCACGCCACAAATAAGAGCTTTTTAGGCAAACCCTAACCTCATCAGCTCGGATTCCCCGTGGTATTACCGGTAAGGTTTGTCGGAAATCACCACAAAATAAAACCGTGATACCGCCCATTGGTCGATCATTTTGTCTTATATCCCTTAAAGTTCTGTCTACCGCTTCTACTCCTTTTCGGTGGGCCATCGTACATTCATCCCATATGATTAAATTACACTAACGTAATACCTTAGCTTTGTCGCTATTTCTTGAAATACTACAGGTTGGACTTTCCGTGCGATCTAAATCAATTTGTATTTTAAACATAGTGTGAGCAGTTTTACCTCCTGGTAGCAATGTTGCAGCTATACCTGATGAAGCCACGGCAAGAGCAATTTTACGCTGATTTCGAACATAAGCTAATATTAACTTATTCAAAAGGGTTTTCCCAGTTCCTCCAGGTGCATCTAAAAACCATATTGTACCCAAATTATTCTGAACACTCTCGCACACGCGATCATAGACTGAACGTTGTTCTGCAGTCATCATTGGGACACCGTTTTCTAATGTTGCCAGCAGTTCCATTGAGTTGTAACCAATCTCTGAGGAATATTCCCTATTGGTAACCTCTCCGATTGAGGTTGGTGTTGGCAAACTATATTCACAGAGTGATTTACCGCCTACTGCTGTTAAGTCTTCCTGAAGAGTTAATAAGCACAGATTTATTGTAAGATCACGGAAATTATCATTAGTTGCGCCTTCATCATTGTGAGATATATTCCGAAGAAAGTCTTCTGCAAATTTTTCTTTATATTTTTCCCATAATTGTACAGCATCTGACAAATTACAAAATGTGAGTAATGTTACAAATAAATGGCGTAACCGTCGTGGATTATCACTAACACAGGATTCTGCTAAAGCGTCATCCCAATGCTGATCATTTTCAAGCAAACGAAGCGCTTGGCAAGCTGCATGATAAGTTGGATAAAAAACATCGTCTACTTTTCTCAAATCTATAAATGATGTTGGTCCTCGCACTGTATCATCTGTGTAATAATCGCAAAATGAAACACTCAGCGTTGTTAGGATGAACGGTATACACTCTACCAAGAACATGTTCTTTGAAAATACCTGACTCGCCGTCTACAGGCCTGCTACGGCGTCTACGATTAAAGACAACTCGTTGCTTATGGTAGGTATAATACGATGGAACTTCCTCATACAAAAGAGATTTTGGAAAATTATCAGTTTGGAAAAGTCGAAAGAATGCTAATAAAGTTTTTGTCTAGGGTTCTTTAATCGTTTTGCAACATTTTCGGCGTTGAAATATACGTTAACCGCCTTCAAGATGAACATCTAGATGAGTCACAGGTGGATATCTTTCGTGAACGTTGAAACTTAAGATCCGTCACACAGCTTCTGATGAGCTGATAATCTGCCTGACTGCAATCTAGTAACTTCACCATGTTCATTTCTCAACGCAAATGTAGCTAGGTCACTGCCCTTGTTAATATACTTACAAATATATTTTATTGAATCTACACTATTACACATTTCAACATTTATATGAGCTTAAAATGCTCTAGACAACACAGGCGAATACAGAACGACCCACCTATTATCTAAAGTAACCTTGTCCAGTTGTCCAGACACTCCCTTTTCAACAGTAAAACCACCATTGCCTCTTGAACGGCGACGATATAATGGGTATCCATCATGTCCTGTTACAGCTTCATCCACTAATGCTTTTGGATATCTTTTAGTGCAACGACCGTCTTGAATGCAAGGAGCATTCCCGTTAAATGCACCACATGGACCATATATCATATGAGTTTTAACAATGTTGTATAACACGGGATCTGCATATCGGATCTGGAATTTCAGCACTGATTGAACTGTCTACATCATTAGGTCGAACCTTATCTTTTAACCTAAGCAGGATATGTGCGTGAGGTAATCCGCGTTTTTGCCACTCAACACTATACATATAACACAATACATCTCCAAAAATGTTATCTTTGGTAAGTAGATCTATCATTGAATTTAATTTTAAATGAAAGACTCTTGCGATAATATCATGGCGGTCATGCGGTGCTTGACCCTCAATAAGCTCCCGAGTGATTTCATCCCACTTGCGATTGGTAGTTACAGTAATAAATAAGTCGGGACGTCCATATTTTCTTACGTAACAAAAAGCATCTTGAGGACGTTCGTGCATCGTGAACCACCAGTAAAAGAAGAGGGTAAAATAGGGCGGCACTGAAAATTTCGGGAATCAAGGAAGTGACACAACATTACTATTTAAAAATGTATTTATTGCTTTTCGAAGTATTCTCCGCGAAATTTGAAACATTTTTCCATACGATGGAACCAATCATTGAAGCAACCATTCCATTCGGAAGTTGAGGTCTCCAAAATGGCCGTTTTGTAGGCGTCCACAGCTTCTTCAGGTGATGAAAATCTCTGTCCACGTAATTTAATCTCTACTTTAGGGAAAGTATAGAAACCATTAGGGCTTAGGTCGGGGCTGTACGGCGGATGGTCTAATTATTCTATGTTTTCTTGCTCTAAAAACTCTTTTGTTCTGTGTGCGGTATGAGAACTCGCATTGTAGTGATGGAAGATGATGCGGTGGTTGCAGTTCTCTTTACGGAGTTCAGAAACGACCTGTGGCAAACAAATGCTAGCATACCATTCTGAATTAACCGTTATTTGTCCCTCAAGAGGAATAGTCGTAACATGGCCGGTTTTGGAGACAAACGTGGCCACCATTTTTTTTGCAACACTCCGTGAACAAACAATTTTTGTTGGCTTTAACTCATTTTCGAACACCCAAACTCGTGACTGGTTTTTTGTTTCGGGTTCGTACGCATATATCCAGGATTTGTTACCTGATACGATGTTGTATACAGCATTTGAGGATCCTGCATGGAATCTTTCGAGAGTTCTGACGCACCAAGTAACGCGAGCCGCTTTTTGCTCTTCACAGAGCGAATGCGGTATCCATCGGGAAAACAACTTTTTTATACCTAATTGTTCATGTAAGATTATTTGTATTTGACTCATGCCAATATCTAAAGTTGCCTGAATTTCGCGGTATGTCACATGTCGATCTTCCTCAATCAGCTTACGCACAGCATCAACGTTTTCTTGGGTGACTGCAGTTTTTGGACGAACTTGACGAGGAGATCATCACTGAGCTTGACAAGTTGACATTGAAATTCAGCAAACCAGCGATAAATTGGGTTTTGGGTGGGGCTTCATCACCAAATGCAGAAATCATCCGGTCAACACACTGTTTTTGTGTCAAACCATTTCGAAAGTCATAATAAATCATCGCTCTTGAATTTTCTCGAGTCAATTCCATTTTCTCAACGACTAAACAAGTTTGACAAAACCTTATGACAAGACCGAGAATCTTTTTTTAAATAAATAAATGGTATTCGATTTTTAAAACCAAGGAGTTTTCAATTAAAAAGATTTTAATATGACAGGAACAGTGGAAATATTCCATTCCCGATACTTTTAGTGCAGCCTAGTAAACGACCCATATTCACCGTATCATTATCTTGCTATATGGCGTCGCGAATGTGCACGTATTCTTCAGCGCGCAGCTGCTTTTGATTAGATCGTATATAAACTAATCTTTCGGTTTCAATTTTTGCGTACAAGTCAACAATAAACTGATTGAATAAGCCACGAAAACGTTGAAAGTATACAAATCTATTTCGTCTCACTTGCAAGTGGTAACGGTATAAAATTGAAGGCATGACATCTTTTTATTATAATTAGGTGCGCCTTTAGCGGATGAGTTTGGTATAAAGCGAAATTATAACCATCTTCCCCTCGAGAGTATATCAAAGAATATTGCAAACTGTCGTAAGCCCTGTGGGTTTCGTAAATACGTTGCAAACGATTGTCTTTGGAACGGATAACGATATCACGCCTACCACATTCCTGGTCGACCAATACTACAGCAACTTCATTCGTGGATGGAACGTTATAACGCCCAGGGTGTTCCCGAGTTGGACGCCTATCGGTATTTATAACAATTTTATAATTGTTATCACCATCTTGAGGAAGAGCTTCTAATGCCGATTTAAAATTGCATACATACGAATTAACCCGATGCAACATGTTCTGAAGTTGTGAAATAAGTTCAGTATTTAGATTCGGGAAATATTGATTTCTTATATTCGACTGTTCGTTGTAGTCGGATACAAAATATATTTGAAGAAACTTAGGTTGGTCTTAAGGCAAAAGGGATCCTATCAAATGGTAATCCTGACCATGTATCTTAAAAGTAGACATGAAAGGACCTTCTGAGATTTGTTGAGCACCAAAAGATGTCATTTGGAACGCACTATTATAAGTGCGAATATTGTCTAAGAACTGTTTAGATTGCACATGTTCCCCTAAAAGTAGTGACTTCAAAGGTTCCGGTGGATCTTCGAACGAAGGCAAATATATTTTACCTCCAGAACAACAGAAACCAGCCGACTCCTTACTCCACTTTGAAGCATTACAAAAAGTACATACTACGTTCATATCACCTATTACAGAAGATGATCTGTAATCAATTGTGAGGTTATAAGCAAACCCACTTTTATATTTGTCTTGTCTTGTCTTGTTTGCGAATTTGTAGATTGATCTTCTATGTGTACATATAAGTCATTAAGACTATGTCGAAATCTGTCTGCAGTAAGAAGGGCCTCTCGCTGTTCATCCGTTTCAAAAGACCGAATATTTTCAATTCTTAATCTTTCATTAGACAAACTTATTAATCGTTCTTGTCTCAAAGAATTGTAATATTCGCGTCCCGACTCTAGTCGTTGTTCTTTCTCATGTTCATTTTCAAGAGATCGAATAATATTATGGTGTACCTTATCATTTGTCAAACGGTCTTCATATTGAGTAAAAGTTTCAGATTCTCGAGATAAAATATGAAGTTCGCGATCAGCTGTGAGACGTAATTCCCTCTCAGTGTAGGTTTCGGACTCGCGAGATAATGTATGCCGTTCGCGGTCAGCTGTGAGACGTAATTTCCTCTCAGTGTAGGTTTTGGTCTCACGGGATAGTACATGTCGTTCGCGATCAGCTGTGAGACGTAATTCCCTCTCAGTGAAGGTTTCAGACTCACGGAATAGTACATGCCGTTCGCGATCAGCTGTGAGACGTAATTCCCTCTCAGTGTAGGTTTCGGACTCGCGAGATAATGTATGCCGTTCGCGGTCAGCTGTGAGACGTAATTACCTCTCAGTGTAGGTTTCGGACTCGCGAGATAATGTATGCCGTTCGTGGTCAGCTGTGAGCCGCAATTCTCATTGTGAAGCAGTTTCAGCTTCTCGGGATAACACATGTTGTTCTCGGTCAATGGTAAGCCTTAGCTCTCGTTGAGAAGAACTTTGAGACGCCCGTGATGTAGCTCGTCTCTCTCTGTTAGCTGCTAATCGCATCTCTCTTTCTGGAGAGCTTTCATTGGCTTGAGAAGTTGAGGCACTAACTCTCATAGAGTTTAACCGATGTGCTCTTTCCTCTGCCGATTCTTGAGACCGCACATTTCTCATTCTCTTAGCTTCTCTCGAATTTTGAGATTAAGATAATAGTTTTTTAAGTGGCATTGTATATTTTATTTTTAATCAACGGCATTCAGTTACCTAACAAAATAATCTACGTTAGAGGTCCTAACTATAGCTACCATACACTTAAAAAAATCTAAATGCCTACTTAAATTATAAAACGGATCCTAAATAAATCCTTAAATCCAAAATTAATTTTTTAAAAATATATAAGTAGGTACCTACGTTATAGAAATAAGTAAGTAGATACCTATTTAAAACTACATCTAAATTAAATAAAGTTTAATTTATAATTAAGCTAATACTAAGAAATATTTAAACACTACCAAAATACTAATACCTATTTTATAAAATAACAACCAAGGAAATCTAAAAATAAATTATTAAACGTAAGAGTAGACTAAAAGTCGCGCTGATAAGCACGGTTTGTTAAAATCAATTATTGTATGTCAATAAGGTCGAACACTGAACGTCTATTCGCATCAATAGCCAAATATTGTATGAAGCTCGTACTTTTTTTTTGCGCCCGAAGCAATTAGAAAGGGCTACCCTTTATGTAGGGAGGCGGAAAATGCATTACGCATATGCGTATACCACGATAGCCGGTCTATCGTGGTTATGAGGGACTCACTGCCTACCGAGGGAACCTAAGTGATACCCCCTAAAAACCGCCTTTCGGGACTGGCAACTAGCTGTTTAAGCTTCTTATGCCGTATCGGAAGCGACCCTCTTTTGGGAAAAGAGGGCGCAGGCGGCTACGAGCCGCTGAGGAAGTGCCTATGAAGGCAAATTAATTATGAATAATTTAATTTAATTAGAGTTTGCCTGAGCTGCCAAGAGGCAGCTCAGGTCGTTTGTCAGTTTATTAGGTGGGTCCGAGTGAGAGTTTCTCGGCCTGCGGACACGATAGCGAGAGGGCGGTGGGGCTGCATAAGAAGCTGCCTCACGAATTAATTGATTGGGGTGCGACTCTGAGACTTTGAAGAAGTTCTCAGAGAGTTTTTTAAGGAATTGTTGAATTGTTGGGAGCTCTAAGTCCCGATGAAGGTCGGCATTACGGACTTACCAAGGTGCGTTCGCAGCTCGACGGCAGAAGAGGTTCCGAACTATTTGGAGTTCATTTATAGTGTTAGGGTATGCGTGGGCAAAGACGGGGCCCGCGTAGGACATGACTGGTCGTATACAAACCTTGTAAAGGGTACGCTTGTTTCGAAGGGACATTTTACTGTGTCGGCCCAACATACTGTTGAGCCTACTCAGATAAAACCGTGCGTGACGGGTTACTCTTTTGACGTGGGGCCTGAAAGTAAGCCCTGTGTCTAGAGTGACACCTAAATATTTGGCGGTCGTATGCCAGGGGACAGGGGTCCCTAGCATACGTATTGGTGGAGTGTTTTTGAGACGGCGTCGTTTATAATCGAAGTGAACGGCGGAGCTCTTCTCCGGGTTCACATCGATGAGCCATTTTTTGAACCCAGCTCCTAGGTCATCAACTGACTTTTGGATCTTGTTCCGTATGAAGGGTAGTGAGACACCTTTGCAGTAGATGGCAGTGTCGTCTGCGAAGAGGGAGAGTTGAACACCTTTCGACGGGATGGGAATGTCGTTGGTGAACAGGATGTACAGCAGAGGAGCAAGTACTGAGCCCTGAGGGACACCAGCCTTGATTGTTCGCTGTGAAGAAAGCGTGCCTTCGTGTCTAAAACGAAAGGTACGATGTTTTAAATAGGAGGCCACGAGACGAACTAGACGATCGGGGGAGACCTATTTTGTATAGCTTGTAGATGAGGCCTGTGTGCCAGACTCTATCGAAAGCTTTAGCTATGTCGAAAAAGACCGCGATGGTCTTATGACGACGAGGATAGAAACCGCTGAGGATATATTCCACAATGCGGTGAACTTGTTGGGGACATGAGTGTTTGGCTCGGAAGCCGAATTGATGGGGAATGATAAGAGGATCGCCGTCTGTGGGAAACAGATAGCGCCTCATACGCGTTTGGATGACTCTTTCGAAGAGCTTGCCCATTGCCTTGAGGAGGCTAATGGGGCGATGACTGGAGGGGAGGTTGAGAGGCTTGCCTGGCTTGGGAATTCCAATCACAGTAGCTTCTTTCCATGTAGTGGGGAAATAACTGAGGTTGAAGCAGGCGTTGAAGATAATAGATAGAAAGGTTAACACCTGCTCAGGAAAGTGTTTTAGGGCTTGGTTGGAGATGCCATCCGCGCCCGGAGCCTTTTTGAGCTTAAGTCCTTTGATGAGGGATGAAATCTCATCATTGGACACAGAGATAGGTTCGGAGGCCGTAGGGGGTGAGTTCCGGCGGCGGACCTCATCCTCCACTGTCTGGACGTGAGAGGGGTCGACGGGTTGAGAACTAGGAGAGCATTGAGCGGCAATGCTATCTGCAAAGCACTCAGCCTTTTCCTCATCCTCGAAGGCAACCGTGCCGTCGGGACGGGAGAGAGGGGGAGTGTGGGTGATAGCGTCTATGTGGAGGGCTCTAGCCATCTGATAGTACGCTGTGTGAGATGGAGAGATATTCTCCATGAGCTTACTCTTTTCGAGGTCTCGAAATTCAGAGAGGCGGAAGCGGAGTTTTCGTTGAAGACGATTGGCCGCGCGCCTATATTCGGAGGTGGGGTATTTTGCTGCTCTCCGGAAAGCAGCTTTTTTGGCTTTTAATAGGTTGCTAATATGTAGGGGAAGCCCACTATTGTTAGCAACCGGGACGACCCTTTCGTTCTCCTTAAGGGAGGATTTAATAAGGGTGCTCGTACTCAGACCTTCCGCCTTTTTATACCTCCCGCCGCGAGCCGCGTCGAGCGCGGCGACCGTTACACAAAAATAATCCTTATAGCATGATTCAGTATTCACGCGCGATGGCTTATTAGCGTATTTCATGTATAACTTTGGTGTTTCTGTACCGATTTCTATGATTATTTTTTATTGAATAGATAATGATGTTAACTTTTTTTAATTAGGGAGTAGACAAATATAATCAGAAAGCTCCGAACTGCTAAGCTATCGGGAGTTACACGTGTTATTGTGAGTCAACCATAAAAGATAGACATATGCTGTCGTGGGATATTTTTTATATAATTTTAAGGGGGACATTTCCTTTCATTAAGGCTGCACACGCGACGGAACCTTAAAAAATGGAGTAATTTCTCCCGTTTCCCCAACATTTCTCTTCACTGCTCTGCTCCTATTGATCATAGCTTGATGAAATACCTAACTATTATAACCTGCCCAGGAGTATGAAGAATGATTGTACCAAGTTTCGTTAAAATCCGTCGAGTAGTTTTTGTTTTTATAACGAACATACAGACAGACAGACAGACAAAAATTTTACTGTTTGCCTTTTTGGCATCAGTATCGATCACTAATCACCCCCTGATAGTTATTTTGGAAATATATTTCATGTACAGAATTGACCTCTCTACAGATTTATTATAAGTATAGATTTAGGACAAATGTGGATGTCTATGGGCCACAGCATCCACTTACCATCCCGTAAACTATGTGCTCGTCACCCAATGCTATAAAATACTTACGAATTTGTTAATGTCAAGAATATTTGAAAATCTTATCAATATGGATTTCAAAAGGGCAAAACTACGTCATTAGTAATATTTTTAATGTTAAAACATATTTGGTATGATATGTACAGAAAAAATCCACGTTTTGCCCTTTTCTTAGATATGACACAAAATTTGAGTGTGTCAATCATGATATTAAACTGAAAAAATTGAAAAATGTTGGCATTCGTGGAATTGCTCCAAAACTGTTTAAATTATACCTTGAAGATCGATATCAAGCAATAATTTTAGATACATATAATAATAATACTACAACAATTGAAATAGTTAATGCTAAGCTTAAAAAAGTCAACATTGGTGTATCTCAAAGAAGTACACGTGGCCCTTCATTGTTCTTTAGAATATATTAACGAAATATTTAATATCATCAAGCATTTAACAATAATGTTTGCCGATGATGCTACAGTCTTTTATTCTGGTAGGCTAATAAATAATACAGAACTTGCAAGTGAAATTAACAAGTTCGTAAATGGGATAGTGACTTCGTTAAATCGTAACTATTTATTAGAAATAATGTACTCCAGACCGAATTTCGGCCACGGTGGCCAGCCTCAACGGAGGCTAGCCATCGGCGCAGGACAGGATTATAGTGCCCAAGTGTGTGCGCAAGCACAAGTGCACTCTTTATTCCCTCACTCGCATAATCCGATGGGACGGTAAACCGACTGGAGAGAGATCAGGCGCAGGACCAACGGCTTTACGTGTTTTCCGTGGCACGTGGGTGAGATACCGCCTGCTTCCTGACTCCGGGCAACTACTGAGAATTTATTGACAGAAAAACTCAAGAATTAATTTTTTGGCCCGACCCGGGATTCGAACCCAGGATCTTATGATCAGCTGTCGCACTACTATAACCACTAGACGATTTATTGGAACCGAAACTTTTTACGCGGTAAAGTTTACGCCCTTGCTATCAACACGATCTTTATCTATTTAAAATTAAAAATAAATTGATGAGAAAAGTGCATACATAACAGCAATAAATAAAGTACTCAATTACTTACCCAATAGTGTCAAAACGATGAAAGGACCCAAATTCAAACATGAACTAAATAACTGGTTGATGGAACATACGTTTTATACGCTAAACGAATATTATAATTTTCAAAGTTAATACCGTGTTTTCCCATTGTTATAACCATTTTTTTAAATATTTTATCTAATAAGTTAATTCTAAATC